CGTAAGGATCGTTGTTTTATTTGGAGTTCTTGTTCGAATGGAGCGCTTTCGTATATGGTTCGTTTTTCTGTGATTTAAGCAGAATATAACATGTTGAATTGAAGTTTGCAGTGTTCGATTTGCCGGGTGAATTTTTGAATAGGGGGATGCGCCATTGGCGGCAATATGGAAGGCTCAACGCAAATTCTGGTTTTCATCGAGCGGTAATGTAATCGGGACTGTTTCCTCTTTTGAATTTTTGTGGATCGCCAGGAATGGACTATGCGGCTGTGTTTGGCGTGAGCCTCATAGCCTGCAAAAGTGCAGAACCATTTGAAAGCCTTAATTTCGTAGCCGGCTGACATACTGATATTTGCGCGAGAGTGAAGTTGGTCGAGATTTGGTTGGCCGAGCTCGTAAATCACCGACATATTTAATACGTTGATGTGGCTATTCGCTGGTGGAAATATCAGCATTCGAGCGTAATAACTTCGTATTAAACCTTTTGATTCTTCATTACGTTTCAGATCCATGTCGTGAATGTTCACTATTTTATTCTGAATGGCAACAAACTGTTAACGACTCACTGCCTTTGCTTCCGCATTGTGATCATTTCATCATCGATTCAAGGTTTTCATTTGGAATTTGCTAACTTAAAGCGAGGGATTACGATAAGTTTGGACTGGGTTCATAGTGGAAGTGGAGATGCTGAATAATGCCCCAGTGGCGAAAAAAGCAAAGAAATCCGTCAAGAAGGCGCAAAATGGGACCCCTTTCTTTGCCCGTTGACCTCCGATAATGGACGAGCTAGCAACCAATTAGGAGGTCGTTTGCACATGTTATGCTGATAGCCTCTATCATTTCAGCAAGCATCATGCTTTGATTGATCACGCATCCCATGAAAAGTTATAGGATACACTCTGGAAGTGGAATATCTCGTCACATTGGCAATCGAAGGGCGCTGCTGCTGGGGGCGGAGCACAGACCGTGGCGGGGCTCAGAAAGGAATGGCAAGTCTTGTACGCTGCGACTGATATGTTCAATGTGTGCAGACTTTACGCCCTGGTTACGCCTTTATGTATCTCTAGCTTAATCTTTATTTCTCTTCTTATAGGACAACCTCGATAAAAGCTACTCAGATCAGTGGCAAGCTCTATCTCTACGGTACTTGTGTAGGGATGTGGTATATACCGTAGAAACCTACATTCCATTTACCTTCCGAATATAATTCGAAATTCTAGTGAGGAGAGATGGGAGATGAATCAGGGACAGGGCTGTACCTGCGTCAACGAAGGGTATTTGATCATGGAAGGAAGGGAGGGTGTATCCTCAAGTTACAGTCTTTGAAATTCGAAGGTACCAGGCACGGCGAAGTGGCAAATTGAGGACAGACTTCCAACTACCCTTCCACTGTTAACCATAGACGATTGAATGGCGCATCCCAGAGAGAAAGTTCTCAAAATCACCTGTACCTGTCGTCCCGTTGATCGTCGAATTTGCTCGAGCGGGCGCCAGCAACGTCTCCATTCGTCCCTGTCGCGTGCAAGAGTTGTCCAGTGGACCCTCCTCGCTCGAGGGACACGATGTCCTTCATTCCTTTCGTTCAGAGCTTTCGTGAAGAAGTCTGACCATCGGGCCGGCGATCGTTTCGACGGCCGAGGGGTCCCCAGTCGTACGCTCTGAGTCCTACGGTGTATTGGTATGAGTGTTCTTATATCGTCTGAGAGTCTGTTTTGCCTGTCAGTATGCGTGAGCATGGGCAAATCGAGATCAGGGGGAACTGCGTATGCTTTCGGACTGAATCGATGAAAAAAGTGCAGCGAATGTGGCAGTTTAATTTGTAGAGTCCCAATAGAAATTTCTGGCAGAAGAAAGGCTCCTTTTCCAAGTTTTTCGGAGAGATCTAGGATGGTCTATAAAGTACTGATCTTGTAGATTTCAACGGTTTTGAACCTTTCAATACACGATGTTGTAAGGAGCTCATGTGCGCTCCCGAGTTGGACACTTGGTTTTCAGGGAGAATGGTCTATACAAGTAAGTATATGGAGGGAAAAAAGGAAACGAGGCTTTTTCGAAAGTACCATCAAATTTCAATTTTTATGAAGTTCTATCCTTGATTTTGACTTTGCTTGGAGATTCTTAAAAGTATGTTAGGAGGTGAGACATTGGATGAATATCGCGCGCCGCTCGCAAAAATCGCAAACCCCCCCCCCCCAAAACCAGGTAGACTGCTATTTCGAGAGTCTATGGAAAAACACCCAGAGCTTTTTCGAAAACCCATTCTTTCAGATTCTGATAAGTCTGAGAGATCTGCAAGAAGTTCATTGTTTAGGAAGTTATGAACTGCAAATACTCGCATGTGTGCACAAAAAATCGAACAACCGGACGTTTTCTTAGGATTAAACATTTGCTATGGTTCGAAATCTTTTTGGAATGGAAACAGTTTTTTCCACATTTTTGTGTCCCACCTCATGAGATCGCTTCTAAAGAAAATGAGCCTTGTGATGAAGAGTTCATATCGTAATGTAACGGATTTTAGCATTCAGATTATGCGAGGGTCACTTATGAGTTAGGAAGAATCTTGGTAGGTTTCCGAAATCTCAGATATCTCTGAGAATATAGTTATGCCTAGGTTTATGCAAAATTTTGGAAATTACTCGTATCTGACGAATAGATTTTAAGTCGTTCGATCGTTCTCGTTAGCGAGCGAAGCGCGCGGACTTACCACCACCTACATATTTCCAAGTCGGAGATGGGCCAATACATCGAGATGGGCATAAAAGTATGTAAAAGGGCATAAATACAGGATGTAGTATTGGCACCCTCTTGAAATGGGGGGCGGGGCGTAAAATTTTTCAAATCTGTGCAGGGCACGGTTGGCCTTGAAATATAAATAGGAATAGAGGTTTTGACAGTATATAGCACTTTTCCACCGAGGTGCCAACCACTTGCATGTGTTCAATGTTTAAAAGGTACTTAGCCATGTGGTCTGGCTAGCTAGGATTTTTGCGTTCTGCCGTTTGTTCAACGCGCAAAACTTCTCAGATGATAAGGAATAAGGGCCGCGTTCAACATCACTTCATAATAACACGTTGACGACATCGCGCGTTTTGTGCTTTTGCACCGCGTGGGACAAGAGCGATTTGCGAGCGCAGCCGCCGCACACCAAATCCATGATTTTGAGCTGTAAATACGCAATACTTAGATGCGATGAAGTGTTTTCAATGATGTTCGATCTGTCTAACTTATCGGGAGTTACAGTAATGGAAGTTTGACCGAAATGACGTGTTAAGGCCATGAAAAGGAAATTTTACTTATTTCCCTTTTTTTTGGACGTGGTTGTTTCAGTAAAAACACATATCTTCCCATACGAATAGGTTTGTATTCGCTTCTATTATTCCTTTTTATCAACATGTCTACGTTATTGAAAAGAAAACGAGGAATGAACTGAACAGACATATCCGTAAGGTCTGGAAAACCTCTGCCAAACTAAAGAATATTTGGCCTTTCTGTGAGCCATGTGGTTTTTAAGTATGCTAATGTATGACCTATAGAATGAGTACAAAGACCTTAGGAATAAGTCGCGCAAGCGCAAGAAAAAGGGATGACTTGGGTGGGACGCGTTACCGCGTCACAATGTCCCACGAGGTGCGCAAAGTGGGACGCGTTACCGCGTCACGCTGTCGTCAACGTGTTAAATAAGGGTTCTAGAATCTGGGAAGAAGTATCCAAATAATCTTACAGTGTAGTGGACGAAGTTGAGCACGTGACACGTTCTGGTGCACGTATTGAGACACACCTTTCCATGGAACGACCAGGTTGCATAAGCATCACATGCAAACTGTAATTTCCAGGTGTGAAACTTGGACACATGGTGCATGCCAAGGTGCTATCAGAACTTTTGGGTGATTTTTCATAGCCCTTGACGAGACGAGTGCAAGGGTAAATTCAGATTCGGAAAAACTTTACTTTATATCAAAAAAAAAACACGAAATCGCGTTTTTGCATGAATTTGAAATTTGCTGGTACCGTATCTACCCCTGCAGGCGAGAATTCAGAAAAAATTAGAAATACCTATAAGGATAGATTAGCTTGGGTCATTTCTACCGCTGCATTTCCTGCTGAATTTGACCGCTCATAAATTGCTTTGTTTTGCTTTCCTTACTGCACAGGATGGGCCAAAATTATGAGGATCAGACATTACATTATCAAATGCGCATTGGAGCTTGATGGAATAAACAAACTTCAGGGAAGTGTTTGTCTTTATTGTCTCAAAGTAAATCTAGAATTAGAATTGAGATCTGCCACCTACTGCGTTTTGAAGAGGGATGGCGCGTGCGGTGGCACGCAACTAAGGCGTGTCAAATGTTTCCAGGCCTTCTGCTCTGCTTCTTCAGGGGATCAAAGTTTTGTGGGGCATTTATTTGCGCTTGCATCCAGGGTGTAAAATACAGAAATCTAGAGCTATTAGGTGGAAGGTTCCATTGTAACAATTCTTCGAAAGCAACGAACTCGAAAAATCGCTTTTTAGAGAATTTTTGCTTTATTCTTGGGTGCTCGGTCCTGTAAAAAGTCCCAAGTAGACTACTCGAGTGGCTTTCTATCCACTACAGATGTGGAGTCTTTAGAGTGTCTGGCTGGGTTTTCACATCAATTTTTTCATTTTGGGAGTACGAAAGTCGACAAGGGGAGAGCAAGTTTCTGCATCTGATAATTGTCCTGGTGGTAACTGTAACTTTCGAGTCTCCGAATTTTCCATCTGTGGTGGTTCCAAACTTATTGAAGAGTTGAACTGTTGCCCATAAGAGCTTTCCTGATACGTTGAACTGCTGCTAGGTGTAACGTGCCAGATTCCCTATGATCACAAAAAAGGAGATGGAAATGGAGACATGTTCGGTTAAGTGGGAAAAGGAAGAACTTTGCAGTCATAGGAAATTCCAAAAACATTGAAATGCTCAGAGCATTAGTTACGAATTGTTAGCTGTTTTCCAGTGCGATGAAATACATGTTTTCATTTTCAGATGGTTTCGCCATCGGCAGAAGTAACTGAGGCTTTCGCGGAAACGATGCAATCTCTTGGGTTACTCCTGGATAAGAAAAGTCGTTTATCGCTAATCTCGAAAATCGTCGACTCCTTGAACTCTGCTCAGCTGCTTGACATGTTCTGCCTTTTCGTTCTTCAATCGCAGGTATGAAGTCGATGTTGCCTTCTGCAAGGCAGACTTTCTAATGTAATGACCACCCAGGTTGTCTTCATTTTTGTTTTTGATTGGCTTCCCCAGCCGCTCCCGCGTCGGACTCGAACGCGTTTATGAGAGAGGCAGAACTGAGTTTCCACATTGATGACTTCCCATCATCGGAGCGCGGAAATGGAAAGACTTGTCCCGTTCTGCGGGTTTATGCCGTTTCCTCGGTTTTTCTTCGCTGCTCCCCCCCCCCCTCACTGAGCACGTCCCTCACTTCTAACGGTAGAGCAACTGACCGTACCGTCTGTCTTAGGCAGCGAGTACGGCTTGGGTAACCCTTAAGAGAAGTACATGACCAGTGGAAGCGGTAGGCGCTAAAAACGAGCGATACGTGGTGTTTCAAGGCAAAGGTGCCCTGGTTCCAGCACAGTCTGGCTCCGAATCTAAAGCTCTTTGCCTCTTCTGGAACCGTCGTGCCCTGGAAGCAACAACCCCATCAAGCTGGTGGAGTAACAGCGTTTGATAATGCATTTGTGGATGCCCTGCTGACTAAAAATGAAAAATAACCTAAGCAAATCCTTGAAACAAGGAAGGGCGGAGCTGGACGAGTTGCACGAGTTTGCTTGCTCCTTGGCTCCACAAACCCGCTCGTTTTTTGAATCAGCGCTACGCGTAACCATGTTGCGGGTCATGGGTGTAATTTGTAATGGTAATGCGAGGTAATTTGTCCGAAGTTCACATTATTCGCTATCAGATAAATCTCTAAGCCATTATCGTATTCGCTTCCTAAGGCTTTATCATGTTATCGTAATTGACCAGCTACAGCGTCTCGAACGTGAACGCCATTGTCGCACATTTTCGAGCCGCTGCAGCTGGACAACTATGATACTCGAGTGCTACTGTATCCCACCCACAGAATAAATTCTTCGACACAACCTCATCTGGTTGTTCAGAAAACCGTTTTGCAAAAGCACTTCACGTTATTAATGGTTTTTCTAGTGAGTTGTAAACTTGCCCAAAGTCAATAGGCAGTGTGAGGGTCCCATTTCTCGGGTACATGGTGGACTTATTCAAGTTTTTCATCACTGGCGCACCATTTGGCACCTCTTCTGCAATATTTGCCATCAATATCGCGTGGTCTTTGACAGTAAGCGCTTTTTTCTAGGACCCTTTGATAATGAGGCAAGTACTGATGTTGCCGTTTTGTGGAGAACGATCTTCGTCTCGTCTATGTACTGGAATAGCTAATCATGAAGAGAATAGCGCTGAAGCGTTTTCATTAAAAGAAACGGTTACCTTCGAGTAAGCATTTCAGTTTTATTCATTCTGATTATTGATCAATTTCTCTGTCATCCATTTGTTATGCTCCTTCATTTCAGCATAGACTGTGCACTTGCAAAGGGAATGCTTTTGAGTGGGAAGACTGAGGGCCTCAAACTTTTCGAGCAGGTGAACTTCATCTTGAGCACTTGCAGCCTCAATTCTCTTTGAGATCCTAGGGTAGTTCCGGAACCCTGTTTTAATTTCAGCTGCTTGGTCGTCTCTGCCGTGAAAATACAGCCAGTGGCGATCTACTTTTGGACCAGTTGAACGATCTCCTTGACTTTGACAGTGCCGCGAACAATCCTGAACGTTGTCTATTCAGAACTACGTTCTTATGGAGGCAGAGGTTGGTAAAACGGTGTCCCTTAATGGGTGTCGTAATTTTTACTCATTGCTTATCTTTCTTTTGCCCTTTTACGCCTTTTGAAAACTTCAGAGGAAGCTGGTAACTTCACTAGACTGATCATTCTTCTCACCTCTTCCAGAAATTGGAAAAGCCAGCTTTTACCTCGGATCCGGAGGGGGGGGGCATGGGCAAATGTCTTCATACGACCCCTGCCACTCGTTGAATTAGTTGGAATTGTTATCCCGCAGCGGTAGTACCGTTATTCTCGTGTTTGGCCTTCAACGGTATTTGGCTTAGTAATTTGGCCCGTTGAGGCTGACTTTCACATCTAGGGCCCGAATTATGACAGAATGATCTTGTGGGCCCCATAAGTCTAAAGACGTGTTGTTCCTGAAATTTCTTCATTCAGATACATGGGAACAAGTTTTGGAGTCGTTTGAAGTCGCGAGATCCACCTATTGTCCGCTCCTCTCATTTCAAAATCGGTTTAGTTGGGTTTATCTTATCATGTTGTCATCTTGACACCTTCTGCAGAACGGGGTTAACTAAAGCGCCAGGTATTCTGGTGCCATAGCGGTCCCACCCGCTCCTCTCTCCTCCTCAC